TTTATACCTTGGTTTTATCATATAAGAGAAGCTACAAGTTAATTAAGCTTGTGTATGATTTATTTTAATTAATATGGTGGTCCAAGTACATTAATTTTCTTAGAAATAAATCCTACTTTGTAACAGTTTAGTACTTCATTTTTTTTTTAAATGCTACATTTTCCTTATCCACTCATCCAAAGATGGATATTTAACTCATTTGCAAAATTTAGCTTTTAAAATTTGTGCTGCTATAAACATGTGTATGAATATATCCCTGTGGTATCATATTCTTTCACTTCTTTGGGAAGATAACTGGAAGAGGAATACTTGGGTTGAATGGAATTTCTATTTTTAATTGTTTCAAGAATCTCTATTTTGATTTCCACAGTGGTGCTGGAATATTATATTCCTGCACCGGTGTGGAAGAGTGACTTTTTCCATGCAACATTTTTACTATTTTTATTATTTAATTTTTGATGGTGGCCATTCTTTCTGGTTAAAATGGAATCATGATATTCTTTTATTTTAATTTTTCAGGTATCAAGAGATGTTGAATATTTTTTTTTCATTTCTTTATCTTCCATTTGTGCTTCATCTTCTGGGGGGTGTCTATTTCCATTGCCATTTTTCATCCAATTGCTGGTCAGGACTAGTGGGGAAAATTTTTCTCCATTTTGTAGATTATCTCTTAGCTATTTACTTTGCTATGCAGATTTTTAATTTGACATAATCCCACTTGTTTTTATTGTTATTTCTTTGTACCTGTTCTGTTGAGAAAGTCTTTATCTGTGGCTATGTTTTAAAGAGTTTCACTTATTTTATCTTCCAGCAGACTACATAATAATACACATGGGTCTAGATTCAATCTTCTCTGTATGTGTAAATAGCTTTTTTTCTAGCACAGTTTGGTAAAGTGGCTACCTTTTGTCCGGTGTCTGCTTTCTACTCTTTCTAAAAGATTAGATGGGCAAACATGCTAGGTTCTATTTCTGAATCATCGGTTCTGTTTCATTGATCTGTTTCATTCTCTTTTGCCCATATATAGGTATTATAATCTTCTAAAGATAGAGAGGAAGAGAGGGATAAAACATGATAATGAGAGAAGAAAAATGAGTATTGAAGAAAATATTTAAAAAACAAATATGAAAGAAAAAAAGAATAGCTTGAAAAAGAAAATTTAAAATATAGGATAATAAAAATAACCAATAACTAAAACTAAACCAACCAACAAAACAAACAAACAGCCAAACAAGCACAAAGCCCTGATGCAGGTGGTTTAGCATAAAACCAGCTTCCTTCATTCTGCAGTCAGAGTCTGATTACATACACCCAAGCTGGTTTTCCCACTGTGGTCTGCTTCATGCCTTGAAATCTGCAGATCCAATGATTCTCCAGGCCCACCTGTTGGCTGTGATCCTTGAGTCAGACTTTCTGCAGACCTTTGTCTTTGTCCAAAGATCAAAACACCTTTGTTAACTGGGAAGAAGAGGATATAGTATAGTCTTCCGAACTCCTGGTCCTCTTCTGCCAGGAACCTCCCACCCTTCTCACTGCAGGGAAAGTTCTGCAAATTTCTCTGCGTTTTCTATCCACAGGCCTTTTGTTTAGTGTACACTGGTAACCCTGTGCTCTGGGCTCTACTCTGTCTTCCTACCCATGCCCCTCCCCAATCAACCTTCCAAGAACTCCACTCTCCAACCCACAGAACTTGGCAGAGGCCCCATTTTCACCCGAGGTCCTCTCTTGTCAGTGCAGCATCATGGTGAGTGGACCTGGTTTGCCACTGCCTCAGATCTCCCTGACTTTTGGGAAAACAATAGCAGAATATTTACTGGCTTTGCTGAATCGCTTTGCTCTCCTGTGTCTCTCAGGATTCAGTCTGTGAGTCCCCACTGGCAAGTTCTATGGCTTCTCTTTTCCAAGATACTGCTCCAGATGCTCAGTGGCCCTGGGATGGGGGCATGGAGCTCTTCTTCTTGGTGTAGGATGGTGGGTGGCAGGCCAGGGGTCATACAGTCACAGCTTTTCCCCTTGTTTGAGAGATAAGGAAGGCACCTACTCTGGTATGGCTCTGTTAAACCTCCTTTCTCTCCTGTGTCTTCTGGGATACAGTCCTTGAGCCCTTGCTAGCTAATGCTGCATTGCGTATAGGTCATGGTGTTCAGCTCCACTCTGCTAAGTATGCAGGCTTTCCCGTTCTGTTATCAAATTGTGGGCACTTGGTAGGATGCCACAGGGATGCACAAATCCCCACTGTGTGAGAGGATATTGAGGGAGAGGGATTGCCAGTTTTAGTATTCCTGGCTCTCCTTTTCTCCCCTCAGTTTCACCAGTTTCAGTCTGTGGTTTCCCTGGGGCCCTACTTACAGTTATCTCCCATGCTAGGTTTCTTCTTTCAAGTAAGAGCAAGAGTACGTAGGGATGCTATCCCCAAGAATATGGTCTCTTCAGCATTGGCTTCTTCTCTCAGGAAGTTAGCATGGCTAACAGGATGGAGTGTTTGCTGAAAGGTGTATGAGGAACTGCAGGAGCTGCGGACTAGTGGTGACTCCACTTCTTTGCTCAACCACCCTGTTGTTTGGTTCACTTCAGTGGATTTCACCTTCCTGGTGTGTTTGCCTCCTCCATTTCAGAATAACTGTACTGTCTAGTGATTCTCTGAACTGCTTTCTTGCATATCCATCTCTATTAGGCCTTGTTAGCATCCTCTCTTTTTGAGGTTTACAAGGACTCATAGGTAAGAGTTTGCCTTGAGTCTGTGAAGAGACTTTGGATTTGGACTTTTAAGAGGTCCCAGTACTGTGAAGACTAGTGATACTTAGAGATGGACTGAATGAGTTTTGCATAAAGAAATGAGCATGAGATGTTGGAGGCTCAGGGGCAAATATATTATGGTTTACAACAGGAATGTTTCCTATGTCTCAGCACTCAAAGGAGGACTTTTGGAATGTGATTGGATCATGGAGGCACTGTGCTCATTAGTGGATTGGCACACTGGGGAACAGATGGCTGAATTTGCTCTTGGGAGGTGGGTCCTTCTCAGAGAGGACAGTTCACTGGGAGTGTGACCTAGAAGTGTGTATCTCCCTTCCTGGTTCCGCCATTTTCTCTCTACTTCCTGGTTACCATGATGAGAACAGCTTTTTCCCTGCTATGACCTGCAGCCATCCTCTTTTGGCCTGAATCCAGCTTACCATGGACTGAAAATGTAAGTCAAAATAAACCTCCAGTTCTTTATGTTGTGAGTACCGGATATTTTGTTCCAATGATGAAAAAGAGACTTACACACTCAGTATGCAAAGTTAGTATGGTGCTGGGATTGAACCATATACTGTACTCATGCATCTTGATTTGACAAGTGAGTTATTTTGTGTGAGTGTGTGTGTGTGGGTTCTTTTACTTTATCTTTATTTAGAGTGAACCCATCTCAAGAAAGTAGCTTCGAGTCAGAAAACCGTAAGATCTTTATGAGTCTAATGTTCAGTTTCAATAAGATGCCAGTAGCAAGCCAACAGATACTTTATAAAGAGCTTTTTTTAGCTGTGTCAAGGAAAGAATATGTACAAAAATGCATGGGATATCCACATGAACAAACTGCCTGCCTCTCATAGATGCTTCAATCAGCATTGTAGGTCAAAGTTGGCCTGAGAATTGTACATGGGGGACCAAAGTTTAAACCATTCTACTAATGGCAAGTCAGCTTCCAATGCAATCTTTTGATTCAGGCACCAAAGGAAAAGCCTGCTTTCAAGTTAACCAATACAACAGACTTATTTAAGTGACCTAGTGAGACACATACAACATTTGCCATTAAATATTGTATAAGAAGCTAAGCCTCCTGTTTAGTAATGGAGGGTCAGTGTCACAATAATAGACTTGTGACATATCCTCTGCACCCCTTTAAATACTGTACTTGATTAGAAGAACTGTGAATTTTATCAGGGTAGACCAGTCACTTCTTTTGATGGAGCTGCGACTGTACTGTAGTCATAACTGAGATTGAGTCTTCTGAATTGTTAAACAAGTGGAACTCATCTGTACTTTTTTGTGCCTCATTTTAAAACTTTAATAGTGGTACAAGATGGGCCAGTTTATTTCTGTAACACGTTGCAGATAATCAACATTTTCATTGTCAAATGAATGTGAATAGGTCTTGGTACTCAAATGCTAGTGAAATAGGAAAAAAACAAATAGAAACATCCAGAATAGCACATCACGTGTCATGAGTGTCCACCCTGTACATAATTGTGGCCCATTGTTTAGAAAAACTACGGCCACCTGAGCTGAAGTGGAAGTCAGTCCATGATGCTCCACTATGAATCTCTGTCTCTTGCCAAGGTTCAATGGCCATTCACGGCTGCTGTACTGAGCAGTCCACTGCTTATTATTCCTGCTGCCTTCAATTTTTTAATAGGACTGCAACTTTCTTCTTTCAGAATTCTCACTTGATTTTACCAGATCACATGGGAGCAACACTGGATGCCTTTCCATAGGCAGCAGTCTCTGAATGAAGCAACCTCCTTGATACTGTAGGAACAGATGGAGTATACAAAATATACGTACTTTTGTGAACTACACATTTTCACAATGATAGCTCACTGATTCGGTGCAAAGTCACTTAAGGGATGTGTGTGTGTGTGTGTGTGTGTGTGTGTGTGTATGCGTGCATGCGTGATTGCACCTGTACATGCATGTCTTCCCATGAAAGAATATAGGCAGAGAAGCTTAACCATCCTCCACAGGTAAGTAGTGAGTAACCAGGAGGGAAGCAGACTCTGTGTGGCACTAATGATCAGGGATGCTTTTCTTACCTGTTGCCTCAGCAACAGCCCTGTCTCTTCTTCTGAATCTCTGATGGCTTCTGCTGGTGTCATCTCATGACTCATTTTGATCTCTGATGCTTGCTGTAACTCACTGTGCATATAGTTCCGTATTAGTCAAAGATCAAGGGCTCCTCAACCCGGAGTGGGAATTGCTGACTCATTGTCACGATAACTTTTCTTCTTCCTCCTATCCAGAGGACAGTGAGCACCATCAAAGCATCAGCCTGCGGGCTCATTTCAATCTGACCTGCTCTGCTTGCCCGCCTACGCCTTCATTCACAGCGGAGAGCCATTATTTCAGTTCAGTGCTGTGGATGGAGAAAAAAGTTGATTTGGTGTCTACTCTTCAGGTACACGTCATGAGGAAAGCCCTATTGAAACAGACACTTACTCAGGCTTGAGGCTCACAGCTGCAGATACCTAGAGCGATTTTTACTGCCTCTGGACACATTTCAAAACCCATGGGTCTTATTGATGGATTGAATGTGAAGTGTAAGAGCAAATATGGAGTGAAAAATAACTCAAAGCTTTAAAATAAACTCTGCTGTAATGTGGGGATGGAGGTGATTTTCAAAAGTTGGAAAATATTATAACATAATTCATGTACAATTGATCTAAGATTGAACATTTTTAGATTTTTTTCTTAGTTGTTGCTTGTTGTTTCCCCAGATTTATTAAGGTATATTCAACAGGAACAACATCAACAAAAAGCACTACATTCATAGAGTGTAAATCTAACATTCACTGTCATTTTATTATGAAGAATTTGTAAGTTAATGGCCATACAGATTTAGGATTCTTAAAATTATAAGTATCAAAACCATGTAAACTTTTGAAAATTTAAGAGTGAAAATAAAATTTTTAGCCAAACCCTTCATTTTATAAAGAAGTAATATGTACTGAAAAATTGTAAATTGAATTTAAATTATAATAGATCTCCTTTATAGTTTTCTAGAAAAATTTTGCATGCTGCCTATATATAAAGAAATATATTTAAAAATATTGTAATATATTGATGATATCACTTAAAGTCCAAGCATAATTCATTTTAAAATAGTTCTAAATGTTTCAGTTTTGATAGTATTCTAGAAGTATCTTCCTGGATCTTATTTTAAAAGAAAACAATTCTTTCCCAAGGGAAGTATGTTAAAATATTTTCAAGTAAGTTATAGCTTGCTTTAGAGAAGCATTAAGGAATGTACTACGTGGATTTTGCTTTGAGATCTACCTAAAACATATAATGAAGAAAACATTTAAGGGGCTGGGGATTTAGCTCAGCGGCAAAAGCGCCTGCCTGGCAAGCACAAGGTCGTGATTTCGGTTCCCGGTACCGGAGGAAAAAAAAAAAACAAAAAAAAAAAGCGCCTGCCTGGCAAGCACAAGGTCGTGAGTTCAGTTCCTGGTACCGGAGAAAAACCAAAAAAAAAAAAAAAAAAAATTCCCTCAAGAAAACATTTAGTATTCAGTCTGTACATTAAATGATACATGCAAACAAATGACATTAATTTGCGTTGCTGATTTTTCAAAACACTAAAATTTTTGTAGATTTTTCTTACTATTTGACATTTTTCTACCTGTGTTTAATATATCAATAACTTTTTAGGGCAAAGTATCGTGTGAAACGCACATTTTATAGATGTAGAAGCTGAAATTTTGAGAGGTTCACAAGTATGCAAAAACTCATACTGCTTAATACATGGAATAGTCAAGATGGAAAGTTAGGCCTTATGGCTTTGTTCTAAGTGTTATGCAGCACAACACCAGAAATTATCACTGCACCTTATTTAATGTCAACTACTCTGAAAATCTAGTATTAGTTGTTACCAAAAACTAATATTTAGATAATCAACTATGGCCAAATTTCTACTTTATCTAAAGATATTATTTTATTACACACATATGCACATTCAGAACACACTTTATATTATTATCATTTTTTAAACTTTAAAGCTAACAGAAAACAATAAAATAATACAGAATTTCAAAACAAGATAGGAAATTAACAATGGTTACTTATTCTTTTAATTTTTTTTTTGTTCTGTTTTGTTTTTTGGTTTTTCTCCGGTACCAGGAACCGAACTCATGACCTTGTGCTTGCCAGGCAGGCTCTTTGCTGCTGAGCTAAATCCCCAGCCCTATTCTTTTAATTTTAAAAATTAAAGAAACTAATAAAACAATGAAGAAAATATCAAAACAACATAAAAACAACAAAAAATGATACATGATCTCAAAACAAAATGATAGGAATTAGCAACGATTGCTACATTAGGTACTGTTATCCTCAACGAATTTGCTCAATCCACCAGACATAAGAATGTAAGATTGATCCAACAAATTAAAGACACTAACAAGTGGTAATGAAAAACTTAACATTATGGTTTTTCAAAATGAAAGCAAAATTTATATGTACATATAAGAATAGCTGGAATGGGTGTATTGCTGATGTGTGTGGTTTATTGAAAGGAACAGTCAATATTTAATTTTTTTTTTTCTTGACCAGATGTGCATGCTTGAATTTGGTAATCAGATTGACTGATCTAAAAACAACAATATGGAGTATATGAACCATTGAACTCCTACAATCTTGTACGGTGAAGCTCTGCAACAATGGTTATTATATTAAGTATTATTATCTTCAAAGTAGTTGCTCAGATAACTGGATATAGGAATGTAAGATATTGATACATTTTGAAATAAAAAATCAGAATTTAAAGCTTCATATCATTAAGGGCTTCTGTATATCATTTCTTACTTGACATCGAATAAGAATGGAATAATTCAGCACTTGAGAGGCTGAGGCAGGAAGCCTGCTGCGAGTTCAAGGTCAGCCTGAGCTACATAATGAGTTCAAGACCAGCCTGAACTACATAGCAAGACACTGTCTCAAAAATACATAAAACAAGCAAATAAAATAATGGAATAATTAAACCTCTGAAATCACTTAAAGCCTTTAAATTTAATTATAGAAGTTGTTTCTAAGAGAAAAATAAATTTCAGTATGTACTCCTAGTATTTTTGATATAGGGGAAGAAAATGACAACCTAGATGATATCTGGGACGAGTTTTTGTTCAAAAACCAAAGAATGAATTTAGGAACAATGGAAGTAAAGAGCGAAATATATTTACTGAGGGAAAGAAAGCTTCTGTCCAAGAGAGAGACATAGGGGGTCCCTGAGTGGGTTGCCAAGGAACCTAATTTTCTAGGGATTTTTATAGAGCAAAACCACGAAGTGAGGTGGGTCCAAAGTGGGAAACGTGGGAAACTGCAAGATGGGCATGAGGTGGGACAAAACTAGGTCAGTCAAAAAGATTACAAGTGTAATTACTCAGGTAAACTTTATTAAATCTGGGTCAAACGGGAAAGCGAGTCTTGTAACAAACAGGCATGAACACAGAACAGGGGCTTTTCCTGTAGGGAGTTGGGTTAGTAACTCCCTCTGCTTTTTCAAGGTGTTTGATACCTATTTAGAATATCAGTCCCTGGTGTCCATCCCTAGGGAGGTGTGTGAGTGCCTTTGTTTTATCTTTTGTCTTCAAGTCTGGCCCATAGCGGGAGTGCCTGTCTGTCCCTCAGTTGCAAAGATTCTTGTTTTCCATACTGGCTTCTTCCAGGCCTGGCCCTGTGTGACTGCCTATGCTATTTCTACCTAACTCAGCTGCCTACAACATTTTGCCTGAAATCAGTCAGGTAAGCAAAATCAAACATTTACATCAACCATATAGTGTGTAAAACTCCTTGGTAATTTACGCTTAGATTTAAAAATTGTTATTAAAATAACAAAACAATAAAGATAAAAATGAACAGTATTTCAGTCACAAAATTATTGAGAAGCACAAAGAAAGACAGGATATTTGGAAAATATATAACTCCAAAATAGTGTTTCCTTATTTGCACAAAATAAAATAACTGAATATATACATATACCCAAAATATATCCAAAAGGTAGGAAAATGTACATATGTGCATATATATGCAGATGCATATTAAAAATATACGTAGATAATAAATACTAAAATAAAATCTCCATGTATTCTACCGATTGAAAACTATTCTTCTCTAGAAAATATTCAGAATTTATAACAATGTCTCTAAAATTGCAGCACTTTCTTCATATATATTCAAGAACTGTCTAGAGTTCAATACTTTCACATGACCCAAGAAAGAAGTGAGGGTAATAAAAGTGGAAACTCATTGAGTTTTAAAGGGTGATGACCATGGAAATAGAACTGCAGTGTTTCAAATTGACAGGCTGGTGTAAATCTGTGCTACTAAGCTCTGGATATAGACCTGTCATGGGTAAATCTGTGCAGCTGGAGAGAATACCTAGCAGTAGTTACATCAAAAAAAAAAAAGTTGTGAACAAAAAAAAAATTCCTGTTCAGTTACAGTAAGAATTCTTACCTTTGTTCTTAAATTATTAAAGAAAGGCAATCACTTGATTTTATTAAAATTTCTGTGAGTGTCTAATCACATGTTTCACATAGCTATTTATTTGCTGTTCATTATTTTGGTTCATATCTAAGGTAACTTTGTGTTATGTGTATTTCAGGTACAAAGACATTTCTTGGACAGCATTTCCTGAAAAAAATATTTTAAAAGTAAGTTTGAATCCTGTATTTTTAAAAATGCTTTTCTTCACAACTGTAAAGTCAACTGCTAACATATAGAAAAATAAAGTGTTTTGCTTCTTCATGGACTCATTGTCAAATTATTTAATTTTATTAAAATCTGACATTGTAAATCTGTGTCTTTGCTGAAACATGAAAAATATATCTACTTCAGTGCTTTGGACTGAGCAGCAAAACTATGAAGTAAAATGAGTAGAGTATATTATAAAAAAGTAACATTTGGAAAATACTGTTTACATGGAATTAGTTTGTAATAAATTATTTATAAAAACAAAGGTTATGTATTTGATTTTAATTTTTATGAAATAGTATGAGTTTCTTGTTGCCACTGGAATAAATAATGGCAAACTTAGTGATTCAATGTAATGTCTGAGGGTTCTGAAGGGAGAAGTCCTACTAGGGTTTCACTGGTCTGAAACTAAAGGCTCTCCAAAGAGGAAAGAGATAAATTCATCCGGTTGACTTTTTCAGCTTCTAAAGCTGCACGCCTTGCCTTCCTGGTTCATGGTCATTTCCTACACCTTCAAAGGCAGTGGCAGGGCACCTGCAGATTTTTCTGTTTCTGCCTTCACAATGCTTCCTGATAAGGAGATGCTTCTGGGTTAAAGATATGCTAAATACAGGAACCTAATAACCTCAGTGGCTGTAAACATCATGTGTTATACACATGGGGTAAGATTAACAGTATCAATAAGAACAAATGTGAAGACAGGGGATTTAGAGGAGGAGAGAGGAAGACAGGAAGAAGGAGGATTAAAAATTTTAAAAACTCAATCTGAATTATATACGTGTACCCACTCCCCAAGATGACCGTAAACTGTATGTGTTGCAAAAATGTACTAACAGGGAATAAAATAAAAGGGGAATGTTGTGATTTCCTAGCACAACTGGGAAATCTTCCCATCTCAAGATCTTAACTTGACCTCATCTGCATCGTCCCTTCCATCATATAAGGCATTCAAAGTTCTGGGAATTAAACCATACATGTATTGCAAGTGTGGGTTGTCAGTTTTCAGCCTAGCATACAGTGTTAGACATAAATTATACATGATTAGATGTGATTCTAGTGTAGTTTATTTCTAACTTAGTAGCTGTAGATATCTAAATTATTTGAAATACCAAATGACATTTTCTTATAAATTACATAATAATAATATTAATGTATCAGATTTGTTTTTATTTTCAAAAAGCTATTTTCATTCTTTTTTATGTATTTTGATAAAATATTTTATTCAAAACACCATAAAAATTGGCACCGTAATAAAGACCATATAAAAGAAAAGAAATTATATAAATTTATTTTTACATTATGATCATCTTTATATGTAAAAAATAGATGAAAACATGAAAAATAGAAATACATTTCCTAACAGATAGCCTTTGAATACACTACTAGAAAGTCATTTCTAACGGCAGGCATGCTTGCAACCCTAACAACTTGCGGGGGCCAAACAGCAGTGTTATAGGCAGCTGAGTTAGAGAGAAATGTTATAGGCAGTCAGACAGGGCCAGGCCCTGGAAGGAGCCAGTGCAGAAGATGGGATACCTTGCAAATGGAGACATAGGTACTTTTGGGCCAGATCTCAAGATAAAAGGTGCAACAGATGTCTCCACATACTTCCCTAGGGGTGGACATCAGGGATTGATATTCTAAATAGTTAACTATCACCTTGAAAAAACAAGGAAGAGTCACTAAGGCAACCCCTTGCAGGAAAAGCCCCTGTTCTGTATTCATGCCCTCTTGCTACGTGATTCATTTCCCCCTTTGATCCTGATTTAATCAGTGTTACCTGAACAATTATACTTGTAATCTTATTGGCTGACCAAAGCTTTGTCTCACCTCATGCCCACCTTGCGATTTCCCATTTTTTCCTCAACTTGGACCCATGTGACCTTGTGGTTTTGCTCTATAAAATCTCTAGGAAAGACAGGATCCTTCACAAACCACTAGGGACCCCTTCTGTCCCACTGTCAGACAGCTTGCTTTCCCCCAATAAATATATTTTGCTCTTAACCTCCATTGTTCCTAAAACTCATTCTTCAGTTTTAGAGAGCATGAACTGATCCCAGATATCTAGCAGGTTGGGAGGTATTTCCCCTATATCAGTATGGTATATTTATGTGTGAAGACAACATGAAATGTAACAATTAAAAATATATGCAAAGAAAGTGCAAGGTCCTGAGTTTGATTCCCGGTATCAAAAAGAAAAAAAAAGAAAAAATATATGCAAAGACTATACAGTACAAAATAAAAGCTTCATAACTATTAGAAATGTATATCCTCCACAATGAAGGATATAGTCATTTAATCACTAAATATTTGAGAATAATAATATTTGTGTAAATCAACAAAGTTTAATTTATTTGTCCTAAAGATTCATTAAAGTCATTGAATAGTCAACATTATAAATTGGTGATGTGTTCCTGTAATAAAGAAGCTGTAATTCAGACACTCATATTATTTGAAAAATGTAAATTCTAAATCATAATGCTAGCATAATTGGCAAGACAAAATCCTCAAGTTCAAAATTCATACAGTGAAGAAAAAGCAGGTTTCTAATCTTTCTATCTTAAGTGACATCTAAAGCATATTCATAATACATTTTACTTTCTTCACAGGATATTTTTGTGAATGACATCATCATTAAATCACAGACTAATTATGAACTTTAGCAATCTAAATTTTCTCTTTATTGCAAAATACATTCATATTTAATATAATTCTATGTATTACAAAATCATATATTGTCTTGTTGTAGCAATAAATTTGTAGTTTTAGAGCACATAAATATTTAGCCTGTATAATGACCAAAGAGATATTCATCAATCCTTGGGGTCTTGCACTGAAGCATTATTAAATGAATTTAAATTTAATTTATTCATGATAGGCAATTTTAAAAATATCAGTAAATATTTCTTCTTAATTTTCCTTTCTGGGTATCAAATTGACAAATCTTACAAGATACTACTGGCAAGTATGCTTTCATTAGAGAAGACAGTTGCTAACTTTTTTATACATACTAAAGAAAACCAAGTATATAGTACCCTATTTCAAAAATTGATACCCTTGCAATCCAATTTAATATATGATTTGCTTTTGTTTTTGTTTTTGTTTTTGTTTTTTTTTCTTGAGACAGGGTCTTACTGTGCAGTTCAGGCTGGCCTTGAGCTCACTTTGTAAGCCAGGCTGGTCTTGAACTTGCAAACGATCCTCCTGCCTCAGCCTCCTGAGTGCTAGGATTATAGGCGTAAGCTACCATGCCTGGCTATTTAATATATCTTTAGCAACAGAAGGTTTTACAAATTTTCCAGTCATAATAAACACTGAGGGGCTGGGGATTTAGCTCAGCGGCAAAGCGCCTGCCTGGCAAGTGCAAGGTCGTGAGTTCGGTT